AGCTGTCTGAAACATGGCTTGTGTTTGACATTGCTGTTGTCACTGTTAAAATGCCCCACACACCACCTCACTGTGCTTGCATCCACTGTTTGGTCTCTGCAAATGCTCTGCAAGCATTGATGAATGCCAAAGGGTGCAATTTTTTTCAAATGGTAGAATTCAGTTCTGCACTTTTGCTTTATGTGCACTTGTCATGCAGCATTTTGTGAGACTATCCCTTTGCTGCCATTTCAGAAAATTATCAATATTAAAAACTAGATATAAGGAACAATCCTTTAATCTTTTATTTCTGAGCGTCATAGGAGAATTCTCCATGTCAACATGAAGGCAGGCAGCTTCTCAGTGATGTGACCTGTGTTGTTTCTATGTGACCCAGGCTGTGTTGAGACCCATACAAGTGGCATTTGTGACTTCAGAAAGCAGAAGTGAAGCCAGTGTCCTTCCTATGGCATCTGTGCATACAGCCACCCCTGTAGGACACTGGCAATGCCTGTAAGCACCAAACAAAAAAAGTCAAGTTCTGCATGTGCAGGACTGAGTGTACCTTTTCATTGAGAAAGGTAATTGTAAAATGAAGACAGAAAAAGTGAAAACCACAGTTCCAGATTCTTATTTTCTCAGCAAACAAACACATCCCTTTTTTTATTGTAATTATAACGAGTAAGTCTTTTAATAATTGTTGTTGTTGTTGTTGTTGTTGTTGTTTTTTTTCCAGTGATATATAATAAAGCATAAGGCTTCTATATATTTTGAGACCATATTTTAATGTGCAGGTTACTTCAATATTATGAACATTGAATTTTTTTGCGTATGCTTATACATATTAAAATATTGGTGTTGGGAAATGGGTTTTTTTTTAATTGGCTATAATATAGAGAACCTCATTTAGAAAATGAAGCAGAGGTGAAGTGGGTACTGTACATATGACTGTTTCTTGCAGCAGAAGTACTTGGCATGCTTGCATTTTTGAAAAGACAAAATCATGTTTGTCTTCCTTGAATGTGCACACATTCCTGGAGGTGGGGGATGGTTTTCTTTCTTTCTCTCTATTTTTCCTCTGGCCCTAAAGCAGAGCTGAGTTTGGATAATTTGCCCACAGCAACTGAAGGATATGTTTTGGGGAGGGAGGAACAGAATTTGTATTTATTATTGTAAAAGCTTTTTTTTTTTTTTCATGTTAATTCTTTTTAAAAAATATAATGGTATGTAGGGGTTACATTACAGGCCTGTTTTACCAACACAAAGTATCTGTACTGGAGTAGCACATGCAAATGAGCCTGAAACAGAGAATCATTGTTTCATAAAATTTGCTGCAGGAAAAACAAAACTATCTGCGTTTGAAAAACAAAAAAAGTGGAAAAAAATATATTTTTAAGACTTTTTCTCAAAGAGCACTGTGATTGAGGAAATATCCATATATGACAATTTTGTTTCTTGCCTTTAGCATTTTCAGCAGATTAACTGTTTAACCATTAGACACCAATGCTGCAAATATTGATGTGCACACTTTGTGCATATGAGATTTCCCACTGAAATGGGATTACTATCCAAAGCAAAGTAGTTCAGGGCTCACACTGGAAAGAACCAGACTTTAAAGCAGCATTTTCAAATACAGTCGAATTAATTCAATCTTTCATTCTTCTGAGTCTGTAATTTAATTTGTTCTTTTTTAAAATATGCTAGATATATTTCATAAGACAGTAAATGATTTCTGAATGTTGTGTACCTAGTGATACTATAAAAATGGAAATATACTTTATGGTGTGTTTCTTTTTGTTGCTATTGCATAACAATTTTTTACTTGATCAAAACTTTTCACCTTCTCTGAACTCTAAACCATGTGGTCATTGAGGTTGACTCCAGAGTTAACTGTTTGGTGCCTATAATTTGATAACATATATGAAGATAGTCATTGTTTGAAAGATGATATATGCACATATATCTACTTGTTGAAATCTGTGGTAAGCCACCTGGAGATCAAGTTCCACCAAAGGAACAATAACTGGCTGGCAAAATGAACTTTCTTTGGATACCAACAAGTGTAACTAATTGCACTAAATTTCCCAGAATTTGAAAAATTGCTAAGGGGTTTTTGCATTTGTGTTTACACACACACATCTACACATATATATCATAATCATGATAACTCCAATCCTCTAGCATCCTACCGATGCACTGAGCAGGCTGATAAGAAGACATCTGACATGATGAAGATTGGCCTCAGATAGTCTTAGTTTTCACCTTGCTATTGCTGTCAGTGCAAACAGGCTGGTATGACACCACTTTTAATTCTTCAAACCAGAGCTTTATTCAAAAATCTGCCTGGTGCTGCTCTCTCCAACAACTACTGCATCTCTAATTTCTCCTTTTTGTTTCGTGAGCTTGCTAAATATTGTAAAAAAGAAAGAAAAATACATATCCTTGCTAAAAATGTTTGTGACTTTAGCTGACTGGTCTGTTTCAGAAAAAGTTAGTTTTTTAGAAAAAACTAGGCTGTACTTGGAAAGGTCTGATAATACTACAGTCATACTAAAAGATCTCAGGGCAGATGATGCTTATAAGAAGGGTGGTAAAATGACCATATCCTCATAAGAGTCTTCAGTAGCTATGACAATAAGGAAAAAGAAGTAAAATTCCCTGCCATTATATCTACATCTGTACAATTTCTGAGTATACAGCAGCACTCAGAAAAGCATGTTCATTTGAAGAATGAAAAATAGGCTTTGAAGTAAGGACTACACAGTGAAGATGAATGGGGTGAGGTCACAATTCCACATGTTTTATTGTTTTAGTCCATCTGACCTGCAGAACAAACAAGGCAGCCAAGTGCTGATTTACAGGGGGAAGGTTATCTTCCTGACCAATGAGGACCAAATGTTTTGTTTTGAGAAACAAGATCAGATTCTATGGAACATAAAATCCTTGGAACCTGCTGCTGATTTCCTGCCTTTGGGAGTTCTTTTTGCAGCTGACAGAGTGTAAAACAGTAAAACTATGCAGTTCAGGAAGCTTTTCACAGCAATATCTTCCTAATGCTAGGTGAGACAGAGTCATAAAACATACTACAGAGAAAATGAGTAACTTTAGCTGATTTTCCACTTAATCTAACAAGTTTTCAAACTAATTTAATTTAATTATTGATCTCTTGCACCATATTTTTAGTTGTAAATTGGTAAAAGGATGTTCCTCTCCTTAGCAACAAGTGATACACGGTCCAACTAGATACCGACCAGGAGTCATTATGAAAACATGGCCAACTGGCAAATCCCAATGTGGACTGCTCAACTCGATGTACAGCACTGCTTTTATTAGCATTAGTTATCTAGCAAATGCGTGTTTTCATGGAAGTTTAAAATTTGAGCTACCCCCAGCCAATACATCATGGAAAAAAGACTAGCAAATTTATTTCATAAAAGTTTTGAGATATATTGATCTGTAAAGGGCCTTAAACATTCAACAAATCCACCAAATCTCCAAATCTCCAGGGATAGAAAAAATTGTTGGCACCCAAGGTTCTACCCAGAATTATTTTTGATATCTTAACACAGCTGCACTGCATGGAGATCTGCCTTACAACTACGCCCAGTAGAACATGAGGACTCAGATTTGTCTTACGTGGATATTGTATCATTTTATTAAATATATTGATCACTGTATCACTCTGCTGAATGCTACTCTGCCTATTTTGGACAAAATCATTCTTCCTATGTCATTTGAGTGTTTTTGCCAATGGTTTGCTGTGATAGGATGCCCTTGTGTCTTATACACTGAAGAGGGATTTGGGCTTATCTGTGCTTCTTGCCAGTAAAATGTGTTGAACACTGCACTCTGGGATAAAATTCCCATCATCCTACTGTGACCCAAGTGTATGAAACACTTGTTTTATGCAAAATGAAATAGCATAAGGAGGTTTATCTTGATAATATCTTAAAGTGAAAACTTCTGAGAGAATGGTAACCTGGTCTTGACAAACTCTCACCCTCTCAAAATCAGCGCCATAACTACTGAGCTGTTGAAGAATATCTCATGATTTGTCACGGTAGGGATGAGTGGACTTGAGTTCCTATTTCACATAGAGAACTCACAGCTGAGAATATGTCCCTTTCTATGCACAATTAGCCTGAGGTGAGACTTTATGAATTTAAGTCAGCAACCAAGTTGCTCACAGCTGCGCTTTATTTGACTACAGCAACACTGTATTTACTTGAATTTCAGCAACCTTCTAAGTTTGTTGGTATTTAGATTGTTGTTCAGTGTGCAATCAGTGCTGTAATTTGCAAAACAAAACTTGCTCCAAAAAAACTCAAGAAGTATTGTTGAAAGGTTTTTTTTGAAAAAGCGCTTATTTTTCTGGATGCAGTGATCATTGTCTAGCTACTTACTGGTCGGTAGTGCTACCTTTACTATCGAGTAAAGAATAAACAATAATTCTAATAAAAATTCATCAATTCTAGTGATATCCAGTGCACTACATCAATTATTTTAAGGTTGGCTACAAAAAAAAACAATAAAAAAAAAAACAAACTTGTTATAAACATTTTTTTAAAATCTAATGATAAAACTTGTATATCTTAACTCTGTTAAGCAGGCTAAAAGATTTTATCATATATCCAACAGAAAGACCTACAAGTATGTTTTTACTAACTTTTGTGTGATAATGCAGAATGGTTAGTTTGCTTTGTCTAAAGTGACTACAGTTAATCTCATTTGAAGAGAAGTCAAATTTCTATATGGTGTTTTAGCAAAAAATAAGAAAAAAAAACTAAGAAAAATGAGAAATCATGCAGAGTCAGAAGAGATGCAGAATTTAATAGGTTTCATCTTAATTGATCATTTAAATAGTGCACAATACATAATAAAGTTAAAAGCCTGTTAATTATCATTGTTCCAAAAATGCTCTTTACTTCCATGAATTTACTTCTATGATTTCAGTGGAAGAACTTTTGAAGTAGAGATGCATGTATTTTTCATCTCTGATTTTTTTTTTTTTTTTTTAACAGGAGTCTCTGAACTTTATTGATCCAAGTTTGATGGATCTAAATGGTCCAAGTGAAGATGCACTAGAATGGGATGAAACTGATATTAGTAACAAGCTGATCAGTGTTAATGAAGATTTAAGTGATCCTGATCAGGAACTCAAAAAAGATGATCTAAGCCAGAAATCTACTTCAGGAGAATGTGGCAGCAATGATGTGAATGAAGATGAAAGTATCAGTGATCGTGGAAGTCCTCTTTATTGTTCCAGCATTACTTCCCCTCCAAATCCTCACATCTATCAGGTCTATAGTCTTCATAATATCGAATTATCAGAAAAAAAACACATGCCTTTCTTGAAAAAAGCATCAAAACTCTCCAGTGTAACACAGTCTAACATTTTAAACAAAAGTCTTAGTAAAGACTCTTCGTTTTCATCTACCAAATCCTTGCCGGACCTAATAGGGGGAACAATGTTGGCAAAATCATATAACTATATGTACCAGAGTGGGAACATAAGCAGGCATTCCGAGAGTGAAAGTGGAATAGTGAGTGAATGTGATACAGAAACTACAAATAATTCAGAAATTTTTTTACTAAATGATATTGAAAGCACTCAGAGCAATCCTGAAATTGGTCACACAGGAACTCAAATGGATGACATAATTGATGTAATAAAACAAAAAATAAAGCAAGATGAAGAAGACCATGCTAGTCTCTCAGATGATTTTCAGTTGGCACCATCTGGAGGTTGTGGAAATGAAATTGATAGGGACTTGGACAACATTACCATGTGTAAAACTGTTTGTTTAGAAGAACTGCAAGGAAAACAAGATGTGTTTACATTTTATGATTACTCATATCTTCAAGGCTCCAAATTCAAATTGCCAGCAATAATGAAACAGTCACAAACTGAAAAGACACAAACAGAGGGTGCTTTGTTTCATGGTTTTTGTTTTGATAAAATACCTGGTAAATCTGAACATAAGCCTGGAGAGTCACAACCAGATGAGTTTATTCATGACCATAATCTGGCAAATATCCCTGGAGGATCAGATCCCAATTCCTCTAAGTCTGTGGAAACAGTAAGAAAACTAATTGCTACAGAAAATACAAGACAGCTTTCTGCTTTATCTCATAGTTCTTCATTAGAATCTCTGTCTGTAGTAGGTGATTTATTCAGCTCAGGTATTTTTAAAAGTGGAGATGGTCTTCAACGAAGCACCTCTTTGGAGAGCTGGCTGACTTCCTACAAAAGCAATGAAGATCTTTTTAGTCATCATGGCTCAGGAGACATTAGTGCAAGCAGTGATTCTGTTGGAGAGCTCAGCAAAAGGACATTAGATCTTCTGAATCGTTTAGAGAACATCCAGAGTCCATTAGAACAAAAGATAAAGCGCAGTATCTCCGATATAACACTCCAAAGTAGTTCTCAAAAAATGTCTTTTACTGGACAGCTGTCTGTAGATATTGCTTCCTCAGTAAATGAAGACTCAGCAGCTTCTCTCACAGAGCTCAGCAGCAGTGAGGATCTTTCTCTCTGTTCTGAAGACATAGTACTGCACAGAAATAAAATACCGGATTCAAATGCATCATTTAGAAAACATCTTAATAGATCTGTAGCTGATGAGAGTGATGTCAATGTTAGCATGATTGTTAATGTCTCCTGCACTTCTGCTTGCACTGATGATGAAGATGACAGTGATTTGCTTTCGAGTTCCACCCTTACCTTAACTGAGGAAGAGCTAGGTATCAAAGATGAAGATGATGACTCCAGTATAGCAACTGATGAGGATATTTATGAAGAATGCAATTTAATTTCAGGACTTGATTATATAAAAAATGAACTCCAAACTTGGATGAGACCAAAATTTTCTTTGACAAGAGAGAAGAGGAAAAGTAACCTCAGTGATGAAATTCAGCACAGTAAAGTTAGTAATGAGACAACAAAAGCCACAGATACACTGAACATTGAAGCACTTTTGAATGGTTCGGTGCAGAAAATAACAGAAAATAATGGCAACAGTAAGAATGTATCACGTAATCGTGAAAAGGGAACAAAGGGTCACCTGATGAAAGATATCTCTCAGGTTGTGAAGGATCAACTTGTGGATGATATGGAGAATGGCAATGTTGAAAATACTCTTGCCAGTCATAAGGGAGATCTTGTTAGAACATCAGCAACTTCCAAAACTCATGCATCACTTGGTGTAAAAGAAGCTGAAAATGAATTTCGTATCTGTGAAGCATTTACAGACAGTTCGGATGATTCACATATGGATGGAAAGGAGACTGTTCTGTTGTCAGTTGGATCCAGAAACCCTCCAAAAGAATGTCAAAGTCATCTTCAGTCTGATTATCACTGCACTGCTTTCTCTCCTGCTAAAAAGCCTTGTCTTGAATCTTCCTCAGAAACAAGCTCTGTAGACACACAAGCTGCTACTTTTCAAACATCCTTAGCTGATGATCAACAACACAAAATAAGCGTTGCTGAAAAATCTACTGATTGCTGTGCAGTTTTGAAATCTAGTAAGGCAGAATATGACTCCTCAGCCAATGGACCTGATTTATGCTGTAACTGTGACTCTGCTGCTTTTGATAAAAGAAATATGGAAGATGACTCAGTACACAGCTTTGTGAAGGAGATAATAGACATGGCATCAACAGCTTTGAAAAGTAAGTCACAACCTGAATGTGAGTCATCTGCTCCAGCTTCATTAACACAGATAAAAGAAAAAGTGTTGGAACACTCTCACAGACCCATTGAGCTAAGAAAAGGGGACTTCTATTCTTATCTTTCACTTTCTTCTCATGATAGTGACTGTGGAGAAGTAATCAAATACATAGAGGAAAAGAGCAGTACACCTGTGCCACTGGACTTTACAGATGAGAGGGATAATATTGAATGCTTTTTTGAAGCATGCCCTGAAGATGAACGTGTTGAGCAACAGCAGTCCATTTGTAATGGTACTCCTGAAGCAAGAGCTGAGCAGCAGCAGCAGCCTATTTGTAATATTACTTCTGAAACATCTCCAGAGTCACCAGATGAATTGACTTTGGCATCATTAGGAAAAGTTAAAGCTTCATTAGAAGATAGTGATTTATCTTTTCTATGTGATGATGACAATATAAATTCCTCCAATCCTAACAAAGAAAATGCATCAAACAATTTGAAAAATGCTGTGGATGATTTGTTGATTTCAGACTGGCAAACAGAAGGTTTGGATAAGAATTTTCCAGAGCTCAGCAGTACAAAGAGTAGTATAGGAAAATCACCTGGAACTGAAGATCTCAAAGGATGTGTTGCTGCTTCTGAAGAGGCTTCAGCTACAGAGTTTCATTTAAAGCATGACCATTCACAGAATGAGGAGGTTTTACACCAGAACACTAAAACTCTTACTTGTGAAGAAAATCTCTTGAATCTTCGTAAAGAAAGACGTTTTAATATGCGCAGATAGAATGTAACACTCTCCAGGCATATACATTATCCTAAAAACAGGTATGTACTCTATGAAACACAATTTCTTTTATTTACATTTTTTTATTTATTTTTTTCTTTTTTATTATTATTTTATTTTATTTTTAAATTTTTGTACTATGAAAGAGGTGGATCATCATCCAGGGCTTCTGTTTTATGGTAGTATTATTTCATTTGTTTTGATTACACTGTAATTCTGATTCACATGCCACTGGTCAAAAAATGCAGTGAACAGTAGCTGCTTCTTGCCCTTTGGCTTTGCACTGACTGGACCTGCTTTCTTCTGGAATACTTCAAATCTGCTGTCTTTCAGAACTTGGGAATCCTTCAAAATTAAAATTTCTATATCAGCCTACTCCTCCCTTGTCAGTGGAGCCATGAAAACAAATATCAGCTCTACTCATTGATTCCTTTCTCCACAGACAGCTGACCTTATGAGTTTGATGAGGTTATGCACTTAATGAATGTAAACTGGTTTTACAAGGATTTTGAGTGACCAGTGAGCTGGAGCTCTATAATATTTACAGACAGTCCATGACATATGTCCTAGCAGACTAGAAATTAAATAGGGAGATAATAAGTCATCTCTTGGTGTCACCTTACCATGACTAACATTTATTAAGCCATTACTAACCATTATAGATTAGACCAAATTTGAGATTACAAAAGTAAGAAATCTTTGCAACATCAATGACAAATGTAATGTGAAGGTGATGTAGAATAAAGGCTCAAACACCAAAGCAAATGAAATATGATAACCACAAAGCAGTGCTGAAAGCTTCCATTCTATTTTGTGGTAAGCATGTTGAACCATATATAGTTCCTATCCGGAGTTCTGACCTCACATGAATGTCTGACAATTAGCTGCACATTTAGTAGAAAATCTACAAAGCAATTTCTGGAACAGATCCTATCACATAGAACTGTTGCTTTGAGTCTCACTAGCAGTTTGGCGAGCCAAAAGCCAGCATAGCTTTACAGTGATGTCACTAGTTTTTGGGAACACCGATCCAGTTGTCCAGAACCAGCCTGGCAACTCCAGATGCCACTCCAATTCCAAATGCTTCTGCTTATGAGAAACTAGCAAGGGGATTTCTAGTAAGGCATGAAGTTAAACACCATGTTGCCCAGGCTAGTTCTAAAATCTCCATCCTTGGAGATTTTCAAAATATACATGGACACATCCTTGAATGATCTACCTTTGAAGATATTCTTGCTTTGAGAAGGAGATTAGTCTAGATGACATTCAAGTTTCCCTTCCTACCTAGATTATTCTAAGAATCCATTATTCTTTCCCTTAGGAGAGAAGGTTGTTATTCATCACTGCTTATGAAATCCACCAGTACACACCAACTGCAACCTGCATAGCTATGACAGAGGTTCAGAGCCTATTTATATAAAAAAATAGATTGCTTTACTACTGTTGGATATTTAACTTTAGAATTTCCTGATTTTGCTATATTGTATTATTGTGCATTGGAGTTTTCTTATGCACATGTTAACTTTTTATCCACCATTCACATATTCACATATGTATAAAGACAGCTAGGAAAATATTTAGGTTATGGCAGCAAAAGTGTACACCTTGCCATGATCTCTTTCAAACACAAATCTATTTTAATAATACACTATCTTGGAACTGTCGTGGCAAAGAGGATATTTCTTGAAAGGCTTTGAAATGAGTTTTCCTGACCTGTTGATTGCCAGTAGGTTAATACTTGGACACATCCAAACAACTGAAGAAGCAACAGATATCACCTGGGATTTACAAAACTGATAGATGATACCATATATTCTAGGGTTGCATTCTAAAGATTGTGTGTCTACAGAGGCCACGATCTATAAACTGAGATGAGGACAAAAGCATGAGGTTGACAAGTGACTATTATGTAAACGTAAACTTTTCCTAAATTACTTCTTTACAAAGTTTCTTTTTTTCCACTCATTTTGTAACACTGGGGAAGAATACTTAGTACAGTGAGTTTGATTTTCTTCTTCTCATTCTTTCACTGACAAAGTCAATAACGTAACTTTTCATTCGTTAGTACTTTTCCTCTGAGGATCTCAAAATACTATGTAAATTTCTTCTCACTCTTAAGAGCTTCATAGTTACTTATATGGTAGCCAGCAGTGTTTCTCGTAAGACTGGGGTATGACAGTGTGCAGTTAACAAAACATCAGGACTAAAACTGGGTATAGAGGATGGACATTTTAATACATGCCCAGAGCGCAATAGAATGCAGAAACTATATACAAAATTTTCAGAGTTATGTTAAAACTATAGCATTTAACATAACATGCATTTAATTTTTGCCTGGGGGTTAAAAATTTTAAGGCAACGAAGCCTTTCACATGACATCCCACTTTTTAAATTTAAGATACATTGTTTCTTAGCAGATATATATAACCTTGCTTCCATGGAAATTATGTACTGTATTATTCCCAGCAATAAAGCCATAGGATACATGTAGCATGTCTCAGGCACATCAAAAAAGGAAAATATGAGCTGCTAGATTTGGTTTCACTGAAGACTGAGCTCCCATCCCCCCTTCACAAGCTCAGTACTTTAACTTCATCTCTCATGCTATGGGGAATGAATTACAGAAGCAATCTATCCTAATTTGTTAACTTATTCAAATAACAGTTATTATACTTAACTATGCTAAAGATTATCTTTTTGGTGGCAGATTGTTTATTTTTTGATGAGGCTAATTACTGATTTTCCAAAGGTAATTTACATTTATTACTAATACATCTTTTAAAATGTGACAGATAAATGTTGTTCCCATAAGTGTATTATGAAAAAAGTTTCTATTTAAAAACACATTATTTAATTTGAAAGATAAATGGCAAACACCATTATTTTTCCTGTAGCACCTGTGCTGTAAGCTCATTTAAATGTGTAATTCCATGTGTAGCTGCAATACTTAGAGAAAAATAATCTATAGTATATGTGTACCTTTAAAGCATACTAAGAATTCAGAGCTGAAAGAGGCCTAGTTTCAAGTATAATTTGATTTTATACTGCTTCAGTATTTGCACTGGATGTTCAGGGGAATAAAACAGTGAAGAGTTGCATATACTTCTGCCAAGTATATGTAACAATCCTATTGTTTATCAGCATACTACAAAAAATGCTCATCATGTTAAAATAGTACAAATTCTAAAAGCAGACTCGGAAATGTCTATCAGCACCAACTCATCTTCCATATTAGCCAAAAATAGAATTCTGTAACAGAGATACTCATAAAACTATGCATAGAGGATGGCTTGTAAGAACTGTCATTCTGTACATGAGAGATCCTACAGTGTTCTGCTGTCAGTGTGACCCATGACTCTCAAAAGGGTTGGGAATTCTTAGTCATATATTCAGTATGCATAAAAATCATTACATTTAGGAGGTTTATGTGATGTGCCTGATGTCTTTTCTAGAAAATACGGTATACTTTTGCGTGTTATTTGTTAGTGCTTAAAGTAAGTCAGAAAAGTTATTTCTTTCCTTTTCTACAGAATCCATAGTTTAAACAGAAGTTTTAACTTAATTTAGAAAAAAATGTTTTATCTGGGTTTTTATCTAACAGAGCCAGAAAGTTAGCCAGAATATCCTGCAACTTGCTATGCAGAAAGAAACCTTAGAGAGAGGGCAGGTTCTATGGTTGGTGATCAGGACTGGTCCCTGAAGGCCTGACTGTTATTTTCTGCTCAGAAATAGATGCTTTTGTATGGCTTTTCCTTCCCTGCCTCAGTTTCTTTAGCCACAAAATAATGAGAATAATAATTGGTGGAACCTGCGAAACATAATTCATTTGCTGAAAATGTTTTGAGATCCACAGATAAAATATGGTAGAGAAATGCAAAGTATTGTTAGTGAATTAGTCATTGCAGGAGAGAAATAATATAGAAATTTACACAATAGCTAGTATGCAATAATTTACTTTTTGAAAATGGAACTACAAAAGTAATCTAAATTTATCTTTATTTAATTTTTGTAAGGGAGTGGATAGAAGAATGTTTCTTTATAGAATTTAAAATGGTCTGACTTTTTATCTCCTCACAATATCTGACTTCTTTAAAAAAAATGAAATGGAATAAACAGATAATCTTATACTATTCGCGTGTTACATTTTTTTTTAAAAACCTGACATAATCCATCAGTGAGACTTTTCTTACTGTACATACATGAAACTCCTGCCAAAGTTGTAGGAACATTTTGATAAAATCTTTCCCTTTACTCACATTAATTCTTCCCTAATTTCTAAACAAACTATTGAGCTTTTCACTCTTTTGTGTAAGTATATTCCTTCTACAGATAGAGGGGGACTCAGTTACAGCAAATAAGATCAAAGGATAAGGTAACTGGATAGATGCAGATACTTCTGCTTAGTTCAGAAGGCACATAATGCATGTCTAGTGTGCCTCCTAGGAAATGCCTACAAGATGTACTTTGCACTAAGCTTTGAGCTGTATTCTGACAGTTATTTTTTCATAATCCTCATCATAAGTCTGTGCTCTTTGATGAATAGTTTAACCCTAAACTCCAAGCAAGATAATTCTATAATATGAAAATTTAACTCATTGCTTGTACTAGAAGTGTCTAAGTAGCTATTTACAATTTAAAAATTCAGTGATGACAATGAGAGTTCTGTTCATGGACCCCTTTTGTGACAATCTTTTTCTCCATTGAAATCTTATAGTGTATGATACAAAAGTATTAAAGTAAGTGACAGGTGCATCTTTTTGGTGTTTGGCTTTAAAAAATTCCTATGTTTTCATTGATTGGTGCACCTATGAGTGCACTGAAGGTAAGTTTGCAGGTAAGGATGAAGACTGGATCCACAGAAAGGTCAAATTTCATGACATTTCCTGTTTCTTTAGTCTTTATAGAAATCAATGAGTTTTCTACATCAAAACAATTTTACGCTACCTTGTACCTCAGGCTGTTAAAAGTCATTGTTTGCCAACTGTATACTTCTGCATTAAAGGCTCTGGCATGTGGTCATTTAATGGTTCTCTATGGTTGTTCTGGAAGAGCTATGTTTTGCAAATAAAACTGCATTTTCTGTAACCTACTATTACTTTTTTGTTTCCTTTTAGAAACTTGGCTGCAATTCAGGTGCAGGTTCATCCTGTAAACCCTGGGATGACCTCCAATTCCATTGTATCACTGCCTTTCATTACATTGACTCCCAAGATAATTTTTTTTTTCAAATGTGATTTGTCCATGTTGGCTTTGTGATCAGATTGCATATGCTAGTCCTATTTCAGTGCTCATTTTGTGTGGTAGCAAAGCCGTTTGCTTTCATATGGATTCCTCTCCCAAGCTACCTCTAATGACCTCCCTTCCTAAAATGAATGCTCCTGTACTACTTATCACTGTTTCTGTTCTTTAAAGTTTTGAAGTTCCACAGGATTTATGATCAATCTGATTCATCTTTTCAGTACTGTACCTGCCAGTACTCCTCTATTTTGTGTATCAAATTTAATATTTATGTGTATAATGCATAAACTTATTGAAGCTATTTTGATTTGACAATTCTGTTGGATTGCAGCAAAAGGAAATCATTTATCCTCCTGATTCAATGCATCTAAAAATAAACAATTAAAATAAATAAATGTCATTTTATTTATTTAATTTTAAAATTTAATCTATGCAACACTTCAAGAAACAACTACATGGTGTTGTATATTAGGAACTGTTGACATTCTACTGAATTAAGTACAACATTTTGATTTTTTATGCTTCTTGAGGTGGTAATGAGTAAAAAAAAAAGTTTTTAAAAAATGTGTGCCTTGCTGAATTTCTTATACCATTTATTAAAAAGCTGCTTTCACAGTAAAATTATGTTGATTTGGAAGGAGGAAATAGCAAGGTTAAGTTGTGTGAATAATTTCTGTATATATGTATAACCAAGTGCAAACATTGATGTATAATGACAGTATAAAATGCTTTTGTGTTTGTGATGTCCAGTGATGTGGAAAATATAAGCCTTAAAACCATTAGATTGCATGGTAATTAGAATTGGCATAATAAACATAGTTTATTGGGGAAATAAAAAAGCAGAACTGGTGATGTGTTTTACCTGCGTTCTAAGAACAGAATGCTGCATCAAAATACAGAGAAATTCCTTTTTGTTTGAAAAGATTTCACAGAGAGAAGCAGTTCCATAGCCGGTGAAGATTTGTGTTACCTGGCTCAGAAGGAAAGATCCTTTTCTTAAAGATTTGGCAGGCCTCCCAAGTCAAACAAGGAGAGACAAGCAATCAATGCATTAAGCTAACGTAACTGCCAACAGCCATTAAAAGTGGTCAAGCACACTTTGATATCAGACATTTTCCTTTTTCTTTTTTTTTTTTTTTATCATTGGAATATTGGGTTATAGAATGTTCTCTGATTCTTAAACTTTCTTTCATTTGCATAATTATATTGAATAAGCGTTATATATATTCATATGGACACTTATACAGTTTGCTCTTTCAATGACTTAGGCTGTACAATTTAAAGGTTTTTCTCTTGTGCTGGCTGACTAAATCAAGCCAGATCTACCTCTGCAAACATTGCTTTCATCTCCTAAAATCATCTTTTGCCATTTTTTCCATGTATATAAGTTTTTTTGTTGTTATTGTGGGTTTTTAGTTGTTTTTGTTTTTCTTTTGTTTTGCTTTTTTTTTTTTTTACAAAAAGCTTTAGTATTCTTTTTCTTTTTAAAAAGATGTTTGACAAGCTGTAGCTTAAAGGCACTATACCAACCAGCTAATATGTTCATATAACACTGAAGTAACAGGTGAGTGAAGAAAATCTGATATTTTTCAAATTATTAATAGCTTCCTATAACTGCAAGAGACAAGTCATCTATCTCTCAGTTTAAATTTCTGCTATATAGCCTTGATGTTGGTATGGCAGCAGAAACAACTCCCAGCTTTCAGAAGAGCATTAATAAGAAGCAATTTTTAACAGAACTCTTGAAAAGTTTTCTGCTCTAGCATGTCTTGTAACATGTTAAATCTGTTAGGTTAGACTTACAATTACCTAAAGTACATAGCTGTATAGCTAATGACCACAGTAATATATTTTAACTATTTTTTAAATTATATAGAAAGTAATTAAGAATATAACTTCTAAGTTTAGTAAAATATTTATTGTGTCAATTATTTTAATCAAAGATTTATTTCAAAAATTATTTGTAAAACAGTCTTGACGTGGGAATTAAGTTTGGAATCATTCATTTTTCTCCCTAGCATTTTCTGGTTTGTGCTGTATGTTTTTTAAACTTAGTCTATAGTGAGGTCTTACACTATGATGACAGAAAAACTAATATATCTAGTCTTTTCAGATCTGCCGCCTCACCCAAAAGACTATGTAGAAATCTGTCAATTACTTGTGTCTTTCTATTAGATCATTTGCCACAAATTCCCTTTTTTCCTAGGGAAAAATAGTGGTACTTGTCATATCAATAAGCCACATATTCGGCATACAATACCTGGAATATTATATGACTACAGCTCAAATTTCTGTGATTCCTTGCTGACAACTTCTGAACATTTTAATTTAACTAATATTCCCAGGCCTGAATTATTTGGTCTCGTTAGGTAAAGTCTTCGTTCACCCTGACTCAAGAGCCATCATTATCAAATATTCTTTTTCTGGCATGGTTATGTGTTTTACCTTTTTTTTTCCTCTCCTTAATCTTACTCTTCTTCTCAGGATATATTGGGTTCTGATGTTAATAAAAATTGATTTCTAAATGAAAAGAAATCTCTGACAAATAACTCTACAGGATTTGTTTTTGTCTTAGCATAAGTCATATGCTTATGACCAAATTATGCATCGAACTTTCAAAAAGTTCTGGTGTTAATGGCCTTAAGAAAACTACTGATATAGTGTAAAATTAATGCAGGTTTACCAATATAAGCTCTAAGATCAGCCCATAAATAAGTTCTTGTATAGATCCTGTTACCTTCTGGTGAAGTTCTCTTGTGCTGTAGAAGCATGCTACAAGCTTTCTGCAGCATTTATCTCCATCCAGAGCTCCACAGGCTGCTTTTTATTCCACACACTCCTTGACTTATGCTTGAACAACATCTGCAATGTGTGAGGAGAACATTTGACAGAAACAGCCCTGATGCATGGATCTCCAGTTTGCTTCACATTCCTTCCTCAGAGAGCCAGAGATCTGCAGTTCCAAACAAAGGGAATGCTAGAGGTAAAACCATTGCTTGACACTATGATTTAGAAGCTATTTTGTAGTCACTGTAGTTTTATGTTTGGCTAGCCTTGTGAACCACATAGCCAATCTCCTTCCCACTTAATAGTTTGCCTTTTTCCAAACATAAGTAACAGCCTTTCTATGAAACAGTGCCTCTGTATGTTGTAGAGGTGGCACCTCTAAAGCTTTAGGGTTGTTTGTGTTTTTCATTATGTACTTGTGTACACACAAACATACAAACACATGCGCACCAGCAAAATTGTGTAAGTTTGTTTCACAGTAAGGTCAGATGATCAGATGATCAGTCCTTGTCAGTTAGATGATGTTAGCTCTCATCTGTCCTCCTTCAGAATAGTGAAGGGATACCATAATTCCAGTTCCCGTGCCTTGTATTTTAGAATTTCATTATAATTATCCTGTGTTAAGCAGAACAACATCTTTTGACAAAAATTGACTCAATAGAAGTGGTTTTTTAATTATTATCATTTTATTTTATTGAAGACATCAAGAACAATGTTGCAAAGGTTTCTGTGCTGCAAAGCAGAATAAATGGTTTATTAATGTTTAGGACAGACTATACACAAGCTTGAGTCAAGAAGATTAACTGGAATGTCAAGTTCTTACCCAATCAATCTCCTTCACTGGCAACTTTCTACAAACTTATTCCTAATGATAGCATCAATTGGAGAGGGATTTTGGCCAGCAAATGACATCTGATCTATTGCTTTCAGTTCTGTGCTTCTAACTTTCTAGGCTCACAGTCTTTTATACCTATTTTATCAATCCAAGTTGCTTACATTTTTCATGTGACTACTGTTTGCTCAGTAAATGCATTCTCACCTCTGATTTTAGAAAGGTTTTTAAATGCTAGATCATAAATGAACTTTGCATCATTTAGGATTGAGCACTATATGAATTCTAAGTGCTTCAGTGCTTTAAAAATGTATTTTCCAATCAACAGCAAGTAGTATTGCTTTATTTCTGGGGTGTGGAGAAGTAAGCTAATAGTGGAGTTAGAATTTTGTAGGTCAGTAATTCCAATGCATAACTATTACTGTGATAATGTAGTTATTGATAAACTAATTACAAATACAACAGGTACAGAATTTCATCGTACTTAAAATGTTATGGCACAGAAAAGAACAGAGAAGGAAATGACTTTGTCTTGTATTGATCTCATGTCTCTGTGACATTCTAGGATTGTGAATGGAAATTAAAATAATATTTTGAAAAGATTTTTCTCTTCCTTGTAATTACTATGAGGATGTTTTAAATGCAGCAAGGATTCAGTTGTAGCATTTGCCAAAGGAATATCATGAGAGTGACAGGAAAGAGAAATGTATTTAACAAGGTTTCAAGCAATAGTGCAAAAACAAAAGCTGTACTTGATACACTTCATTTACAGCATGATAAAGATCAGACTCTGGAAATACTGATACTGAACGTCAACCGTCTATCCCACATCTATGCATTTCTTCAGGGAAAGATATATGCTGCTAGAAAAAGCATGCCCTCAGGTGAGGTGGTTTGGTTATTTCTCATAGAGGATACATACTGAAACTTCCACTCTTAGCTCCGGACTAGAATTATCTTTAGAGGGCGTGTGTTTTCTTGCATCTTTATAAAGAATGGAATCAAATTTGGTCTGAGAAGCATATTTCTCTGACAAGATGGAAAATTAAGTTGTAACAACTAGATTTGAAGTTATATACATTGGCAGAATACAAAACAAAACAAAACAAAACAAAAAACCACAATATTTCTGTAAATCTAGTGGTCCTGGCCAGTAGTTTAACCCAGAATTCTAATCTTTGTGGTATTACTGCTTTTTTTTATTAGCTGATCATTATTTATCCTGACCAGAGCTATATCTTTCTACAGTGTTTGGTTTACATTACTCAAATAAGGATTTTCATAATGCAAAAAGATTATGAAAACGCCTTTTCAGTGGTTAAAACTGGCAAGAATCAAAGGAAATTCCAGGGCTCCATTTGATTGCTGAAAAAAGATTTGCTTCACTAAAAAGACTGTCCCCTGTAAAGGGATTTTGCCATAAATGAGATCATAAATGTTTCCCAGGCCTGTTACTGTTTATTTTACGTGTTCATGTATCTTTTACACTATTATATACATATACAGCAGCTATCACCATATTGACAAACAGTCTTTGGTGACACTGAGTTTGGAACTGGTCCTCTGAGCCAAACAGTTCTCTCATATCTTTTCTTCCCACACAATTCACCAACTAAGGAAAGCATTTGCAACTTACATTTGTTGCAGAAGGATTCAGAAAGTTACAGATAATTTACAGGCACCATTTTGAAGGGCAGGTAAGTAGAAGGCAATAAAATAGAGGGTTGGAGTGAAGAGAAGGTGGCTGGCAGATATGTAATGGCTGCAGCTGCCAGCAAGGCTGGAGGGAGGATTCTAGTCTGCAGATACGCTGGCTGGTGGCTGGAAAAGAAGACAGACAGAAGAGGATGCAGAGCTGCAAAGAAGGTTGATGGGAATTAGCTCTGTTTAAAACATTTGTAGAATGATAGGAGCATACGCTGTATTGAAACCAATTTATCTCTATTGCTAGACTTGTTATTGCAAACTGTAAAGTGATGCTATTCATGAATACACATTTTTTCTAAATCTGCTGTTCAGTATGCTAAGCATATCAATCAGATGTACCATTGTCAGTTAATTAACATTTGATTGCTTTAAACATAGGGTGTTGAAGAGGAGGTTTCTTCATGGAGGGGGAGGGGTATCAATGTTTGAGTCCTTTGGAGGGGAGGGACATGTTAATAATTATCCTGAATTGCAAGTAAAATCAAACTGCAGTCTGTGTGCATGTCTCCATGCTACTTGTCACTCTTACACTCACAGTAAAAGGGGTAGACAAATGGAGCAGGTATTTCACCAGCTTAGTCCTTAGCCATATATCCTGCATATAAACTTCTCATATGTGAAGCAACATCCAGAAATGGAAAAGTCACTGTACTAGACAAGTGTAGAAGAAAGGCATGAGAGAAAATGGAGAAGGGAAGAGAGAGAAAAGAAAAGAGGGAGAAGCAGAAAGAGAAGAAAGAGTAAAAGGAAGAGGGGAGAGAGTGGGAAGGATAGAGGGATAGTAAAAAGGAAAATGGAGTTGTGTCTACACTGTGTATCTATGACTGTATGGTAGAATTTTGTATCACGACATGATAGTATTTGAAATAATGAATGGTTTGGTTAAGACAAATCTTTCTTCTCCACCCAGCCACATAAGACCAAGTCACTCACAGTAATGGATTGGTAGTGAATTTAGACATAATGGAAGATGATACTGTACTCCTTTACATGATATATAATTATCTGTGGAATTTCATTTCTACAGGAAATTAATGATTCAAACAGCTTAGTGAGATTGTAAAGAAGCCTAAATAT